GTCGAGCGATTGACAATCGTCGATCGAGCTCGGGATATTGCCCGTGAGTTGGTTAGACGACAGGTCGAGGGTGCGTAGAGCCGTGAGGCTCCCGACCCGAGGCGACAGCTGTCCGTCGAACGAGTTTTGGGATAGGTTTAAGACACTAAGGTCCCGGATATCCCACAAGCCGAGAGGTATGGTGGAATTGAGGTTGTTCGAGTTGACGTAAATTTTGGTTAGAGAGTCGAGCTCCCCCAAGCAATCGGGAACCTGGCCCACGAGCGCGTTGTCGTAAAGGTACAACTGCCCTAAACGGCTCAACCGGCAAAGATCAATCGAGATGTGGCCGCTTAGTCGATTTCCACCGAGCGCAAGCGTGTAGAGCCGACTCAATTCTCCTATGTCGGACGGTATGGATCCCGTGAGCCGGTTCCCGGTTAGGGCCAGTGCTTCTAGATTTTCCAAGTTACGAAACTCGGGTGGGATAGGGCCCACGATCTCGCACCGTGAAGCCACGAAACGAGTGAGGGACGGGGAGAGGTTCCCGACCGAGGCCGGGAGCGTGCCGTTGAGTTGATTGTCGGATATTTCTAGGACTTGGAGGTTTCGGCAGCCGATGAGTGAGGATATGAAGGTAAGTTCTCCATTTGTGGTTAAGTTGTTCTCCCAAAGTCGAAGGGCTCGTAGGTTTGTGAGGGTGCCGAAGTTGGGTATGGGCCCGGAGAACGAGTTTCGGTTGAGCTCGAGTAGAGTGAGGGCCGAGGCATTGACGATGGAACTCGGGATTGGGCCGGATAGCCTGTTGAGGGATAGGATAAGCTGTTGGAGGCTGGATTGTGGAGGGATAATGTCATGAGGGAGGGTACCGGAAAGAAGGTTTTGTTGGAGGGATAAAATGGTCAATGAATGTCGAAATATTGAATAGGGAAGGTGGGATTGGACCTGATAGGAAGTTATTATAGCCCGCAAGGCAATACTGAAGGTTGGTCAAGTTACCGAGTTCTTGTGGTAATTCACCTGGCAACAATGTCAATTAATTTATGAAAAATAAATATTGTACCAAATTGCAATTTCGAAAAATTTAATAGACAAAAAATAGGACACGTACCACTGAAATTATTAGAATTAAGTACCAGCGTAGTTAATGAAGGGAGGCTTCCAAGTTGGTTTGGAATTCTACCTGCAGGTCAAATTTATTCAATAAAATTAACTTTCTAACCATATATATATAGATAAATTTGAGCTTCATAAAATGAAGTAGTTGATGAATTGTACGTACCTGTCAAATTGTTAGAGTCAAGGTACAACAGTTGAAGCGCTGGAAGATTGTACGTGGCATCAGTTGGGAAGCTCCCAGACAGATTGTTGGAGCTGAGGTTTAGGGTTACTAATGAAGAAATATTGAAGATAAAAGATGGAAGATTTCCTGTAAATTAAGACATATATGCAAAGAAAAATTACTCATCTATGTATGGCTCCATAGCAAAACCGTTAGCTTCAAATATCATGCACTAGCTAACTTCTTGGTTATATAACTGTTGGTTACTTCAATTTTTAACAGTTCTATCAAAAACTAATTGAGCTTTTATAAAAAAAAAAAAAAAAAAAAAAA